AACCTTCGGAAGAGTCCATTCACGGTAGGGAAGACCTGGCCCCGGTAGCGGAATCCTTCTGGTGTCACTGTCACATACTCTATCCTGTGAGGAGCAGTGAATGCAGGAGAGCACAAGAGATGACAGGCTGCTTCAGAGCCATACCTGCCACTGCACAGCACCCTCACATTCACAGGTCACAGTCAGAACAGGCAAGACCTACAGACTCAGGTGATGGCTGTACTGATAATGAACAGACAGACCTACCCAAGACACTTTCATTTTGTTTTCAAAACAATTGCTCCAACATACTGTGCCTTTCCATGCAAAAATCTATCAATCACTGCCTACACCCCAGTGACACCCCCTGCACAGAGCAGTACTGCTTGCGGCAGCCAGCTGGTTAGAAACACAGGATTCTCGTGGGTGGGATTTACTGCTAGACATGGGTCCTCTACTGTCAGGAGGCCAAACCCTGGGTAAGGAGAGGCCTGACTTATGGGGATACTGAGAGAGCTGGAAGAGAAACTGGCTCAGCTGCAGCTGGCCTTGCCTCTCACTTACCTTGGTTTGCCTCGAGGCTGATATCCCAAGAGGAATTTGCCAGGTAGATCTTTACAGGCACTGATAAAGTAGGGAATAAACGTTGGCTTCTCTTTCTTGGTCTTTATCAGCAACTCTTCCAGCTTCTAGTTAGAGAGAGAGAGAGAAAGAGAAATGCTCAAGGAGAGCCTACATTTTTAGCAACACACAAAGCCTACGGATATCTCCTCCATGCTGTGGTCAGCCCTTTTTCCCCCCGAGCCCTGATGGGGCTCCAGCAGGGATGACCAACTGTGCCATTTCTGTGCAGGGTTGGTGCACAAATGTCACCAGGTCACAGAAAGCCAATTACTTTCCTTTCGGTGATCTTTGCCGAACCCTTTGCTGCTCTGGCACACTGCTGTGGCACACCGTACTCCCATTGCCGTCTTAACTCCACCGCTCCCAGACAGAATCCCCCTGAGACCTACAGCTGCAAAGTGACTGCCAAGCCCCAAGTGACAAGAGGAAGATCAGAGGGCTCACTCCAGCAGCAGCTCATGCCAGACACAAAGAGTTTAAGACCTGTCCCGAGACAAAGAAATTCATAAAATGCTCCTATATCTCCTACAGAAGCTATCATATCCTGGGACAGGCTTACCTTCTTGTCTCCACCATTGCAGTCCTGATAGTATTTGTGATTCAACAGGTCTCTGGCAAAAGAAGCCATTGGCTGGACATAGCGAGCAACAATTTCATCCAGGTCTTCAAACTCCTTTGAACAAACATATTTAAAGAGGTATTTAGGGTGCATGATGAGGAACTCTTATTCTGGTATACAGCTCTCAGTCATACATTCTCCGCAGCAAGGCTGGATGCTTTGGGGCGGGGGGGGAAAGAGCCGAATATTGCCTAAGAATCTGGAGAACTGCAATGGAAGTTACTCTCCAACAGTCTGAGAGCAGCTGCAAGGACAGAAAGGCTGTGCCAACCTGTCCCTGCCAAATAGGCACTTCTCCTTCCCCATCAACTCTTTAACTCTTTCTCAGGCATGTTCTACGGGGCTCTTACCTCTGTGTTAATCCAAAGCGTGGAGCCCAGGCTGAAGGCATTCTCCTTGCCCTCTTCTCGGACATCCACGTGCTGGTAAATCCCATCGTTCACCTTCCAGGTGACAGTCAGGTGGTTCTCCCCTTTGCTACTTGGCCGAATAATCACATCCCCTTGGTCCATGGTCTCCATCATCTTCTCGGCTTGCTTGAAGCTAATGTTGTGGAATGATGGGTGAGCAATTACTCTCTTGATGTACGCTAGAGGACAAAGCAGAGTGTTTAGGCTTCCAAGAGGAACCACTTTATTGTGACTATATGTCTGATTGTACTTATTCTCCTGAAGCACGCTGGGAAGAGACAGAGAGAAAAATTAGAGACTCACTTGTCCGCTGCTGCTTTCTTTTCAGGTCTTCTTCCTGTTTGTGATCTGCTGCCTCAGAGTCAAAGTCATAGTAAGTGTCTTTAGGCAGTTTCCACTCGTTGTTCTTATCCATCAGGTCTGAGGTCCTGCAGGTCAGGTCTGCACTGAACTTCTCAATGTCGATCTTCATAATCCTGCAGTGAACGGTCATTCCCACCTACAGGTGAGGGGCAGGCAAAGCTGATCAGCAGGCTTGGCTGATACACCAACCTCCCTGCGCTACAGAGCAATCGGTGTGGGGTCACGCTGCCAATAAGGAGGTACAAATTACCTCACATACTTCATACTGATACAACCTTTGAAAGTGATCCTTCCATATGAACCGAAAATCAACTGATCCCCAAGATGACTAGAATCAAAAGAGATTAAAGGAAAAATGGGCAGTTCTCCAGCACATCTACTACCTGTGCTCCATGCCACACAGCAAACTGCATGTCTGGAGGCCAAGGACAATTAAGTTTGCTATTTTACACATCTTTAACAATGGGAGCAGCAAAACTGGACTTCAAGATGTGCAAGAAAGCAGTTAAGTCTGTTCAGAAACAGAGTGGAAGACACCCAAAGGACTGCTCTAATAAAATGGGAAACAGAGAATACCACCACAAAAACTGTAATGTCTTAAGTCCAGCTAACCGTGCTGAAGTTAACGACTCTTTAAAGAAATGCTAAGAGACTTCTGAGCTTACAGGATTATCCATCACCTGCATGGACTGTCAGGAGGACCCCAAAAGACAGCAAAGATGTTAAACCTCTATTTTATCATGCGATAAAAATATGTGATTCTGTTTGTTTCAGAACCCCAGTCCCTGTCCTGAGCAACACCAGTAACTCTGATGACCTCCATGAATGAATTGAGACCGAAGAAAAAGCTATGAGAGAGGGAAAGTGACCCTTGCCTATCTAACAGCAGTTCTGTGAACTCTTTAGAAAGCCAGAAACAAAGGGCAGCTCTGCATTAGAATGCCTTCTGGGCTCCTAAACCCAGACTTTAGCCAGACTGTAATAAATCCTCCCGCAGTGCAACTTGTTAACTGATTAACATGGTTCCCACCAGCTGCCAAGAGAGATTTGCACTGTGGGAGAAGGACACTAACCAGAACCTGAACTTGCTACTGATTTAAAGTCCTTAAATGAAAATAAGGTTTGAAAAGTCATTCAGGGAAGTGTTGTTAACCAAACTCTGAATCTTTGGTATTGACTCCAGGCTCTTCCAGCTCTTGCTGGACATGTGAAAATCCACTGCTTTCATACCTTCACTCTTTCTTCTGGCCGCTTGACCACCTTATCACTAAGAAATTTTGTTGGGATGAAGCCAGCAACACCATTATCCAGGCGTGTCTTCACTCCAATGGCCTGACCGGGGCAGGAACCGCTGTCAAAGTGGTTCCAAACCTTGAGCAAGGCAAAAGTAAAAGTCATTCAGCATGGAAACAAAATAGCCCCGGCAGCTCACACTCAAACAAGTCCAAAGGCTGTGTCAGCAAACAGGTGCAGCCAGCAGAGACCTGTGGAAGGGCAGGGGATGGAAGACTTCAATGAATGCTATCCAGTAATGCAATCTTCCTACTTCAGTTCTGCTCAGCTTATGTGGCTTTGCAACCAGGAAGGTCAGAACATTTTTAGACCCTGAACACAAGCCTGCAGCTAGGGCTGGTTTCTAATGAACAGTATAGGGTTTTAAAGTCACGGATTACCAAGGCTGGAATTCAGCAGTGTTTAGAAGAGACCTAAAGTACAGCTGCATTAAGCAGCAGGGAGTCCAGATAAGTTCTTAAAATTGAGAAGGTGGCAGAACAACCTTCTGTTCTCAGTGGCACGGGCAGTTTCTCTGCGTAAAACACAATCCTAGACCACAAACAATCCTGCTTTATGTAGTTGCAAAGAACTGGTCAGCTTATCCCCAGGCCCGTTTCACTCCTGGCCCATTTCACTAAAATCCCTAACATGGCTATAAAGGACCTGCCAAATCTATGCTGAAGCAATTAGTTAAAAGTGGAACAGATTATATTTGCAGCCAAAGGCCACACTCAGGTTGGGATCCTGGGGCACTGCAGACACAATCTTGTCTCCCAAGAACAAAATCCTCAAGCCTGCCAACAGCAGACTCCTGACAAAGACAGGCCTATTAGGAGAAGCAGCCCCACCTCGCTCAGCTCTGGAAAATTATCCTGCTGACAGAAAGGACACTGCCAAAGGCCAGTTTCATCGTTCCGTATTGCCTGGTCGTAGCTTTCTCCTTGCGGCCGCCTGTGGGCTATCCCAGTGACATTGCAGATGATCATTTTACCTGTGGCGTGATGGGAGAGGAGAAGGAAAGAATGAAAAACTGAAAGCCAACTTGCAGGGCTGGGCAGTTCCCTCGATCTAAGGTAGTTGCATGTGAAGGTGCTAGGAGAGTACCCAGGTACGTGAAAAGCTGCTTCACATACATGCAACCATAGCACCGTCCCAACATTGCCCTCACCAAGATCCCTCTGCCCCACCTTTACACATCCTAAGTCAACTTAAGATGACAGAAACCAGGGATGTAAACAGGGATGTACCTATATAAAAAGTCTCTGGAGTTTCTTTGGTCAGCATATTGAAGACCTCTTCTGTGTTTGGAGAACGGTATGGGGTTCTCAGGTCCTTGTACCTGCAGCTTAGTTCAGCTCGAATGTCATATAAAGTGATATGCTTGTCACCGTAGCCCTGTGCGGTATTCAAAGGTTATAAAGCCATGAGCAGCAGGAAGGAGGTGAGTAGGGAATCTGATATAAGTTATGAAAGAACTCAAGGAACTTATCAAACAGCAAATTTAAAAAAGAGGAATGCACAGGGTACCATCAAACTGCAGAACTCAGTCAGAGGATGTTGAGGAGGTCAAAAGTACCAACACATTCAGAAAAAAGTTAGATAATTTCAGGGAGAACAGCTTGAACGGTCTAATTACTGTCTCCCTGCCTCCTCCCTCCCTCTGCCCCAAATGTACTTTCTGTAAGCATTTACTACATGCCATCATCAGACACTGAATACTCATCATGGCTGTTTATACATTTTACAACGGCAACAGCTAAATGCTCAGCTCCTAAAAAGGATAAGGGTCACCAGCTATAACACACAGGAAACTGAGCTGGGCAGCAGAGCTTCCCCTCTGTTTCTCAGCACCAGAAACTCCCAGCGCACCTGTCTTTCCAGTTCTTCAGCAAAGGCATCGAGATCCAGGTCTTTCAGACGCTCGGGGTTTTCCAAGATCTCCTCTAGAGCTCCTGCAGGATTAGCGTCCTCTGCCGACTCATCATATTCTAAGGCATCCACTGCCATTTTTCTTGCCCATTCATAGGTTTCAGGATGGACCCTAGACCCATCTAGGACTTCAATGTAGGAATCAGTACTGAAATGAAACCAAAGCAACATTCGGATAAGGACTCTGCAGGGTTCCAGAGTCACCTCCTTCAGCTCAATAATAAATCACGCTGTTGAGCACCACTACTGGCTGGGTGGCTGCTTTGCCACTGCTGCCCTCAGTGGAACAAACTACTCTAAAAAGGACACAATGAATTCTTCATTGCTAAATCAACAGGAGCCAAGGCAAGACGTGACAAATTCCAGTCTGCAGTTCCTGCACTGCAAAGATACAGCCAGGCATTTTGGATGCTGTCTAGATTTGATCACTCTGTGTGCTATAGCTGCTCTATGAGCACATAGCTCTTTACAGTTTCTCTCCTCATACAAATTAAGTGTTGCCAACTGGCAGTGCAGCCATCTGCATCCAGCTGTTTGGAGGAATCTACACTTTGTCCCCTGCATGCCTGGGATTTGTATCCTGCAAGAATCAGGTACCTAGTGGGGTCAGATCACTCAGCATAAGGATTCAGCCTTCTCAGACTGCTTTTCAGAAGCAAGAAGGATACTGTGCCAGCCCTAGAGAAAGCACATTTCCAACAAGTGACCCTTCTGGGAAAAGCAGTCAGCTAGAGATTTAGAAACTAGGTTATCACTGTCCTCCAAACACACATCTCTTGTTTAGTTACCAGTAACCTAATGCTCCACAAACTTCCCAGTATTGCTACTAGTTTAAGAGGAAGCTAAATTGCAGAGTTTTGCCTCAAGTTTGAAACTTCAGAAAAATAAAATACTGATGGTAGGACTAGGCAGAAACTAAGCAAAAGTGCACGCAGGCTACTGACAACTATGGTAGGGAACAACTGAACTAGTTTTGTTCCTCTTGACCACAAAGGGTCTTTCAAACCATATCAAGCTATATTATTAATGTTCTACAGCTCACATTGCTGTGCAAGTTTAGCTGCCCTTAAGAGTCAGATTAATAACCAGCAATATTTGAACTTAGCCAGTGATCAGAGGAGCCACACAGAAACTCCTGGGAATGGGGACTCCACAGAACAAGATTGCTTCAGCCTGTCGCTCATGCTGACTCGATACCCCATATAACATGGAATGCAAGCCAGTACCCACCTATCGCCCAGAGATGCTGTGTCAATTTTGATGAAGCCAGCACAGTTGATAAACACCTTGGGTCCCATGTGACACATCGTAACCAGCTGGGTCCTGTTCTCCAGACGCGTGTTGTTTTGTTTTAAGATCTGGAAAAAGAGGTAACAGTATAAACCCTGCTATTCAAACACAAGGGTTCCCCAGGAAAAGCAGAGGACTCACACCAGACACTGCAGTGTTCAAAGCATCTGACATAATCAAGCCCATCACAACTCATAAATTGTTGCCCCCTGCCCATGTCTCAACGTTGTGTGAAAGGAGATGACTCCACATGGAACAGCTCCAACGCTCAGGAAAAGCGTTGGCTTTTTGCCTTGTGTTTTCTACAGTACGGAGGCGTCTCGATACTGTAACAGTGCATCCATTCCTGTGGGTTCAGGAGCTAGCTAGGATTGACAGATCTGCCGAGTTGCTTGGGTCTAGGCAGAGGCACAGCTTCAGGGTTAGGCACAGTGAGATAACACATACTAAACCACACGTCAACAGAGCTGTCAGCTGCATCTGGCACACAGGACCCTGACTCAGCTTGTAACAGCTCTGCCACTAGGCCAACTCACACATTATTGGCAATGCATTGTTTTTGTAGGCAGGGACAGAAGCCTCCTTACCTTTAGCAGATGAGTGCCTTTGCGTGGTCCCAGGCCACAGACATACTGCAGCAAAGCCTGGCTGTGAGGGTGAGCAATCGCCCGATTGACATCCACCCCCACCTCGTTCACACGGTTTATGAATTCGCAGTAGAGGGCATTCAGCAGTTCCTCCTTCACCACGTGTTCCTGACAGAAAGGAGAGGTGTTAGCCTCACAAGGAGATGTATGCAACACTTTGCCATAAGCAAGCTGAGCCAAACACAACAGACTGGCTTTCAGGAGCTGTACTGCACCTCAGAGTTACCCCTGAGAACAGCCTAAAGGCAGGAGGCAGATGAGCTAAAGAAGGCAAAAAAGAAAAAAAAAAAAAAAAGGTGCTGTGTAGCCTGAATATGGCATAGAACAGGCAGAACTTGCACCAGTTCAACTTGGAATACTTTTCTTTGACAGCAAACTGTCACAGGCCTCCCAGGCCACTTTCTCTTGCAGAGAAGGATCCCACAAGGCAAAGTTACCTGCAGAGGATGGAGTTTTAGGCACAGAATATCCTCATCGGAGCTGCAGACCTGGGCAAACTCTATGAGGGGGTCCTGAATGCGGCGAGCAAGGGAGACAGCTTGACGCAGCAGAGGTGGGTAATCCCGGAACTCATTCTGCAAGAGGCCAGAGAATCAGGGAAAACCCTGATGGTGTTTTCACACTTTGTAGAACAAGTAGCAAAGACACATGAGACAGGGACTAGAACAAGGAAAGCATTTGATATTCAGGGCAAAGAGAGTTGAGGTCAAAGGCTCCCAGGAACTCTGCTGTAACTAGGAATGAAACAACCCCATCCACTCAGCCGAGCAAGATTCATTTAAGACTACATCAATATCTACTTCGTACATCTGCTGGTGCTGATCTCTTCAGAGAAGCCTAAATAAGATGTTTTGCCTTGACCCAAACATCAGTACATCACTATCTAGATGGATTACATGAGGCAGCAGATGACAGAAGGCAGGGCCAGCACAATAAATGGAATATGAGACAGCACAAAGGAGCAACAGACTAAGGGACAGCTGGAATAACAGAAGGTTTACCTCAGACTTCTTGCTGTTCATGTAGAGGATGGCCAGTTCATTGTCCACCAGCTCCACTCCGATAGAAGACAGCTGCTGCCCTTGATCCAGCTCATGAACAATTCTCTTTACATCCTCCATAAGCATCTGAGCATCCCTAGGGAGAGATGGCCAAGGGGATTGAGGGGACAGTGCAAAGCTGGGTCCTGGAATCACTTAGGGAGATAACCCCAGTGGGTTACCTCACACCACAGACAGAAAACAGTGAAATGTGGCCAGGCATGAGGAAAGGACTGCAAAGAGACTGGGAAGTGGAAGGAACACAAAGACTGACCTGTTCTCGCCTGCAATTGTCACCACATGAGGCTTCTTGTTCAGGAGGAATTTTTTCAAGGTTTCAATATCCTGGGCCTGGAAAGGGAAGTGAGACAGGTCAGAGTAGAAAAGCTAGAGGGTTTCTGTACTGAGCTAGCTACCAGTCCTGGGTTCCTATTTCATAGGGCAAATCCTCCCCACTGCCATCCTGATCCGCCACCATGATGTGAACATGGCTAAATGCCTTCTCCACAGGCCTTGCAGCTCCTGACTACTGTAAGGACAAACAGGAAGGCTCTGCAGAGGGAAGACCGATGGCCTCATGGTCTGGTGTTACAGGAAACTAGTGTAAGCAGGGAATGGAAGTCAAAAGCCTGCCCCGAGCTCCAGGAGGTCCCACAGCCTCTTGCTATTATAATATGATCAGAGAAAGGGAAGAAAGTTTCTGTAGCTGGGACCACCGAAGCTCACAAAACCCCAACACCAACAGAACCCAGGAATGGCAAGGCCCTGCCCCATAAGAGGAGCAGAAGGGATGAACTGGAATCTAACTGGAAGCAACTGTTTTGCCAGAATAATTACAGGGTGGGGAAAAGGCAGTATTTTTGTATGCAAGAGTGACAAGTCCTGAGCTGTCTTCAGACTGACTATTCCTCTCCAGCCCACAGTGGACTGTGCGGTACCAAAAGCAATGTGCAGACATTCATCTTGACAACAGCTGCACCAAGACTCACCTTCTTTTCCCTCTCTTCCTCACGCCAAGCGTTCCTTCTCTTTGTGAAGTGTGGCAATCGGAGGAAGTCTGTAACCTCACCCTCTCCATTAACAAGGGCACAAAACACTGGGTGGTCCCTGCGAAACAGAGATCATTCAAACATGGAGGACTCCTAAAGCTGAACATGGATCCAGAGACAATTCCTTTCCTCCTACCTGGCTGAGGAAAATGCAATGCCTAGCACTCGAATCCCCTTCCCTTGGTTTTCATCCATGAAATCATCATCTTCCTCCACTTGCTGATCGGGACGGTACGAAGCTACTTTTAGCCAGTTGTACAGCTTCCGGCTGCAAGCCTGGTAGAATAGGGAACAGGAGAGAGAATTGAGAAAATCCACTGCAGGTGCTTTGGCATAGCCCTTCTCTGCAGGGAAGGTCATGAACTGCTCAAGGCAGCAAGAGAGTATACTCTGCCAGGATTGGGACCAGCTCTCCAGAACTATGTAACCCATCTTCCCTCCCACTGCAGTATCTGCTCTTCTCTCCATCTTTGGGAAAGAAGCAGACTCAGTCCCCTGCCTGCCCCCTCCTCCTTCCCAAATGCCTGTGTATGGCCTGTCAGTAGCTCTCCCCAGCATGCTGCAGGACTGTTAGCATTTGTAACCCCAGCTCTGACTCAAACCCACCTGTCTCCCATCTCACCTTGAGGACATACTCCTTGGCCTCCACCAACAGCTTGTTCTTCAACTCTTTTGCCATCTGCACATAGAGGAACTGGTTGAGGGACCGCTCAATGGCCATCGTACGCTGCCGATTCCACTCCTGCACCTGGTGGCTGAACTCATCCCGATAATAGAACTGTTTGATTTCCTCGAAGTATGTCTGGTCGCTACCATAACTGCAAGAAATGAGAGGGGGAGATACAGAAGGGCTCCAAAGACCTGCACCAACACCACCACTGGCAGATTCCTGCACAGGGATGTCATAGCAGCACCTCAGATTCAGGGAGCTGCCTGGAAAATTTAGAGAAGAGCCAATCCTCCCATCAAACACTCCTTTAGCTGCAAAAGCTATGCTGCTAGACAGATTGCAGCTGAACGCCACGCTGGCAGCACAGAGAGGCCTGATCAGTGCAACACGGGACAGCCCACAGCCACTCCAGCACACCCATATTGCAGTGTGGCTACTCAGATGTGCAGGGAAGGAACCAATGAGTGAGGGTGGCTGGGAAACAAGCATCATCTTTCACAAAAATCCTAGTCTTCACAGAGTTTGTCTTCAAATGAATAAGGTAGATATTTGTTAAAGTTTTCACTAAGATGAAGAAAAAAGCAAGACCCTGAGAAGCTGCTTGTCCTTAAGGTGCAGGAAACCAACCGGCCACGGCTTCCAAGAGCAGTTTGGGTTTCAGAGGAGCTCTAACAGCATGGCAGCACTGGATGAACGAGCTCTGCCAAGGCACAGATGGCACAGCCAGCGAGGACTCACCCCTCCACTCCTTTCATGTCAATGCTGATATCTATAGTCAGCAGTCCCTCCTCCTCTGCCAGGCTCATTTTCAGGAACTGGTCATCTCGCAGCTCCTTCACAGGCTTGTTCTTCAAGTATTTAAAGGAATAGGCAAAGTGGGCTTCATCAATATCCTGGGAGAAAGGAGAAACAGTCAGCATGCACGCAGGGCATTCACAAAGACAGACCCCTCTGTATACCGTAGCAGACAATGGTTTTTATTCAATACCCCCTCACCCCTATGCCTGCCAGTCTGCATTTCCTTCCCCAGCAGGACACAGTGGAATTCGTTCCCAGTCCCAGAGAAACAGAGACTGTTCCAATAATTGAAGGCAACATCTCAACAGCAAGAATCAGGTCTGATGAAACGCTGAGACTAAAAATGCAGCATGCTGCTGAGCTGGCCTCTGCAACAGTCCAGCTCACATGCTGCTCTAAGATTTATTCAGAGTTGCCACTGCTGTGGGAGTTTTCAGATGCAAAAATGAGCATTTGTACGTTATTTAGATCCTTCCTTGAATTGACCCACAGAGTCAGAGCTCCCTTCCTTACCTTCTTCCCCTTTTTGGTTGGTGAAATGTTGATTTTCGCTCTTTCTTGGAAAGTCTGTCTCAGGACCTGTCTGACCAAAGGCTCCCTGGCTATCTGCAAAGCCACCATGTACCGGGCTCCTTCCAGCACTGCTTCAGGGCTTGGGAATTGACTAAAAGCAAAAAGGCAACATAAGACTTGAGAATGCCCCCAGATCCCCTCCCCTGTCTCACATCCACAGAACCTCAACAAAGATGCCCCCACACTGACCTACACACATAATCCTTGGCCAGCTCCAGGGGCTCTGCAGGGAACTGCTCTGTCTCGTGACGCTGGTAACTGTCTCGGAGATTCTCTCCAAACTGCTCAGGTGTCAGACCAAATTTCTTAGCCAGGCCATCTGGGGGAAAAAAACCCCACAAAGATGGTGAGGACAAGGGTACTGTAGCTTATACTGAGCAAAGCTACTGGTTGTCCTTCTACAGGTAAGCCACACCACCCAGAAGAGCATGTGGGCTAGGCCACTGCAAGCTCAGCATGACAGAGCAGAGCCCTTACCCAGCCCAGCTGTTTGGCAGATGGTGTACATATCCCGACGGGAAGCCTGCTTCAGCTCAGGCCCTTTCTGCTCATCATCTTCTGCATCCTCCCCTTCACCTATGGGAAGGATATGTTTAGCAAAGCCTCTTTACAGAAGCATCCAGACAGCTGCAGGGTGTCAGAAGCACAGTGAAGGGATCAAACACAACCTACATTGTGCAACATAGTCCCTAAATTCCAGAAACACATCTCAAAGGTCACGCTAGCCTTAAAATTATTCAGGGTTAGAAAAACAGCCTCAAAATGTTATCTTCTCTTCAGTTTCACCCTTTTGCCATTTTAATAGCAGTATCTCTGGGTTGCACATTAAGACACACATCAAGGTGGCTGACCCTCGCTTTGGACCCTGCCATGAGGGGTGGTATTCAGCCCATTGCAAAAGCAGTACCTTGTGTGGCAAACTTTAGGCATTTTCAGAGATACCTGAAAGACTGGGAACTAACCTGAGATAGAAGCAAACAGCAGAGATGCTCTGTGCAAACAAATGGGCTTTTCAAGAAACTTTCTTACTACTCTTTTGAATCAGGATTTTCAAACTGCCCACAATTAGGAGACTATCAAGTTTGGGGACAAACCTTCCTCCTCTTCACCATCCTCTCGGATACGCTTTTGCTTCTTTCGAGCAGCCTTGGCAGCATTCTGCATCTTGGGGATGTCTCGCCCATAGTACAGCAGGAAGTGATTATACACGTCCTTCAGCTCATCCATGGACTGCACGTCCTTCAGCCTACGGCATGCAAAGCCAGCATGTTACACCCTGCTTGCAGCTGAGCTGTGGTCAGAGCACTCAAGGAACCTGCTCTGGCACAGGTCAGGCAGAGGGAGTGCTTGGGCTCATCTTCCAAAAGAGTTTTAAATATTTCTCATTACTGGCTTTGTGGGGAGGCTAAAGTCAATGCGCTGCAGTGGCCAGAGAGCCTGTGTTGTTTGGGCAAGTTAATGCACATTTTAAATTGTTTTGGAATGAATATAAGAAAGTCATGGCACCGTACCTCTCCATGTCAGTAGTATCCAGAGCCCTTATTCCATCAGCCAAGGGCTTGTCTGGGTCAGCAGAGATTTGTTCGTACTGGTAGGCCTGCATCTTCTCAAACAGACGTGTCAGGTTCTGCTTGCGGATCTTCAGCTGCGTCCACTAACATGAGAACAAAGACTTCCAGTGAAACACACCATTGGGGTGTGTCACATCTGTCTCCTCCCTTCCCAAACAGGGGCTCCCAGGATCTTGGGATATTTGTCATATAAGAATAATCATCAAAATCTTCATCCACAGCCAATCCCAGATGTGACACATGTGGCAGGTCTCATCTTGGAGATGGACTGTATTAACATGGGGCAGGGTGGGGGGGAAATCAAGGTTTGGATCTACCTGATAGTAAAGAAGGAACCTGCAACCCTTGCAGGAAAGGTCACTACACAAAAGAAACTCAGTGAAGTGGAAGGACTGTTTTGAACCCTCTCTTGTCAGATAACCCTCTACCACCACATGACAGCAAACATGCAAAAAATTCATGGGTAAAAAAGGCACATAAGGTCTCCACACCAAAACAATATCTGCTGAAAGTATCAGGCTAGGTGGGAAGACATGTTAAATGTTGATGGATAACAAGCAGTGAAAACACTCCTCACCTTCTCATCCCACTGCCAGACCCTCCACAAGTCGTTGATGTGCAGCTCTGGCTCCACATACTCCTTTCTGTAGAAGGCGATGAATGGGACCTAGGTCAGAAATAAGACTCATCACCACTGTGCAGGAGACCACGCTGTTCCTGGCACCCAAGAGTCCAGAGAATGCTCCTGTTCCATGTGGGAGAACAAACTAATGGGGCAGCAGTGTGGGAGGTGTACCAAGCCATGCCCCAGCTCTTAAGACCGTTCCACCAAAGAATACACCACATATACCAAAAAGCTTCTGCAATGTCAGGCAACACCTCAGAGAATAGGTTGAATGGACCAAGCAAGGCTTAAGAGCCTCTGAAATTCCTCCACTGCATTTAGCATCAATTTGTCCAGGATCAGGGAAATATGATGATAGCACAGCCCCATCAGACAGTCTGTAAAAGCCTGCATTGCCACAGCTCACGTAAGATGAGCTGCACTTTCCAATGAAGCACCATTTTGTCACATGAGAGGCAACCAGGTACAGTATCTCAGCCCCTCCTGGTTTGCTGCCCTAAATGCTTCCAGCAGCCTCTCTGTTAATCCTGTTGGGATAAGACAACAGCAACTCAGACCTTAACTTGGCAATGAAGCAGAGTTGTGAATTACCTCAAAATGTTGATTTCTCATGAAATTCAGGGCTTCTTTAATCTTCTGGATGGTGCTGGGCCCCTTGCGGCTGAAGCTGCTGCTGGCTTGTCCACGGTCGAGGTAGTCAGAACTTTCCTAAAAGGGGAAACACATCGTGTTGATCGTATTCCTGAGCTGACCCCCAGGACCAGCCCAGGCTAAGGCTGGAAAACAGTGGTCCTTTTGTTAGCTGGGAATGCAGGTTTAGGTACACCTCTGATTTTAGACCACAGAAAAGCATCCTGGCCCTGACTGGCTTAAAGGAAAACAGAGAGGCAGCATCTGGCCAAGGTAACTGACGGTCAAAAGCAGATCGTGGCTAATACTAGTTTAGCCCTAAGAGCGCAGTGGCGCAGAGATCTTTCAATCATTCTTGACAATTATTCTTGCAACTTCTCTGTGTTCCTTTTTGTCATGTTTTATGGATGCGAAAATGAAGATGTGTATATTAAATGACCTGCTGAAAACCAGAAAAAAAGGTACACTGGGCACCACATTCCTCTAAGCAGACTCCTGGAACAATGCCTCCAGGCTGGAAATTTGCAGCACCTTCAAGTCCTCTTAGGACAAAAGGCCCAGGCATAGTCCTTTACCTGCAAGGAGATGGTGGGTGTCGCAAATGCGTTCCTGTAAATCCAGTCAGCTTCTTCCTCCAGCTCATCATCTTCAGCACTCTTCACCGGGATGGATCGCAACTGTGAAAAGACAACAGGATGAGCAGAGGCATGTGCAACACCAGGGCTTGTGCTACCACGTCTTCAAGAAGCCTGCAAATTATTGTTTTGAGCTGCAGGTTGCTTATGGGGCCTCAGTACCTCCCACACCCACACGGCTTTGCTGAGGATAGCACTTCAGTGTCTGCATCTTCTGAGCACACAGGAAACCTGCATTAGCTTTATGCTAGGTAAAGGCAGCTAACAATTCTGTCAAAGACTTGTGGAAAGGCCTGCAATGGTGCGAAATCTTCTGCGATGATCAAGTCAGTGTACCCCCACTTCCTACCAGACTCCTAAACCCTCTGCAGCTGCATCCTCCGTTCCAATGTATCTGTGCCTGTTCCAGCCTTGGTATCACTTTTCTTGCTGCGGCCATAGAATAACAGAACACAAAGCAGCTCCAAACCCTCTCTGGGCATTTAGTCCCAGCCAATTCTCTTTCAGAAGGCCAGCTCTAATCATCACTGACATCTGTGAAGATGACAAAATGCCTGAACAGGTCACATATGGCCAAAAGACATTACACACAGAATTCCCTTCTGCAGTGCACACTGGCATGGGAAAAAAGGTCCTTCTGAAAAGTTGGCAGCTTCACATGTCCCATTTTACAAAGGAGGGTAACAAGCCTCTGCACAGAATTACATTAACATATGTTAAAGGGAGATCAACTGTTCAGTGAAAATCTGAATACAGGGTAAAATTAAGACAAAAATATGAGATACCAGAATGATTCCTAGCAGCACAAACAGGACTCCGTATTGAGAGCAGCATAAGTCCCAGCCACTTGGATTAAAGTGGGTTACAGAAACCCCTTGTACGGAACAGTTACATGTTGGCTGGCATACCGGTAGGCTAGAAACCTTAGCAATCCTTCTCTGGCACTGCAGCAAATCTTTTCTGGCACCATACCTCTTGCTATCCAGAGGTACAACTCACGTGATTACTAAGAGTATTCAGCATAAAGGACATCTCAGCAAAGCACGAGCCCTGCACCACTCCCGGGAGTGCAACACTGGCACCCAGTGGCCAAAAAGAAACCATGACCAGTGCCAAACCGGGCTTACACAGCTAGAGCAGTTCATAACATCACTGTTAAGTTTGCATGAGGAGTTTCAGTCCATACATTTGAGAGGTGGGATCTTCAAAGAGGGAAAAAGAGATGCCAAAATCCAGCCAGCAGTCAGGTGAGAAAGCTGGCCTGGAGGTCCCAGGCCTGCTGTACTCGCTGGGAGCTGAAATGCTTTCTGCCTGCACACCAGCACCCTCTTCCCTCACCTGGAACCTCTCAGGCATGTCTGTCATGCGGATCTCATTGTCCTGGTCCGTTAGGTGACTGCTCTCCAGCTCACTAGGCTCGTACATCTCAAAGATGCTACGCCGACTGACGCGCTTCTTGGCAGTCTTTTTGGGTCGTACACGGGTCTCCCCTTCGGCTTCTTCATCCTCATACTCATATTCCTCCTCCATCTCCTCATCATACTCGTTGTACTTCTCAAACTCATCATAGTCGAAGTCCACACCAAAGATTTCCTGGGCTTCCTGCAAAGCACTGGAAGGCAAAAACTATTGTTCAGCCCCATGGTGCAGGCCACAGAACATCTTTCTAGCCACACAGAGGTGGCCAAAGCACCTAAGTCTAAGCTTCAGTTTTGCACCTAAGCTAAAAAATCATGGATAGGTACACAACTCCGAGTTTTACATACAAATACTTCTTTTATGGGATTTGTTTTGGTATCCCTATAAAAAATCCGGGGGAGAAGGGACGGAGTCAGACATTTAAGAAATCACAGGCTAAAAGCCCCATGTTTAAATTTACCAGGTTCCTTTGGGGAAAGAGACCAGAGGTATCCAACCACAAGCTGAATCACTCTGCAGTTGCAAGGATCAAGTAAGCTGAGCACTGTTTTCGAGGCTCCAGGCCAATTTCCAATCAATACTTACGCATCTGTGTATCCAGGGAGCTTCTTTCGCCATTTTGGCTTCTTCAGAGGTTGTCCATCGTCATCCACAATGAAGTCATCGATGTCTGGACATTGAGAAGCGATTTAGTGGTCAGGACACTTGCACATTCAACTGGTACCTCTGACAAAGCTCAGCTCAGCCAGTGCAACTATGAGCCTCCACCACAGTCTTAGGCTGCCGCTGGCTGTCAGTCTGCCCAGCTACCCACAGCATCTCTTACACCAACCTCAGACATTCCAGGAGTCTGAACCTCAATAACAAGCTAGAACGAACTTCCAAACAGAGGCAAAGCCATCTGGCAACTATCTGCAGCTCAGTGCACTGAAAACGCAGTCAGAAAAGGCCTTACTGCTTTGGACACTAGACAAAGAATTCTTGAAACTTCTTCAGTATGGTACTAGCAGTGGTGACAGACTGATGCTGACAAGAAGTAGGGTGGGCATGCACTGTGCTGCAGCCCCTTGACCTCCTTCCTTTGAAGCATTTCCATTTTGGAGGCAGCTTAGAGGAGATGTTCAACACCTCAGCACATGTAACGTGCTTCTGGATAAAGCAGTTTAGACAGACAAACTAAACCTGCCACCCAAAAACATTTAATTCTAAAGATTGTACTAATCAGACCAACAAGACTTTACCACAACAGGGCTACAGCCTTTGGTTACTTCTAGCTCAGAAAAAGTCTTAACTTTGTTCCTGTGCTTTAATCCTAGGACAAACTTTTGATGTAATTGACCATCCATACTCACCAGATTCATCTTCCTCTTCCTCCTCTTCCTCTTCTGGTGGAGCAACAGGAGCTTCAACAGCTTCCCCTCCCTCCTCGCCTTCACCATCCTGAAAGATTTCTTCAGCAATGGCTTCCTTCTCATGTTCTTCCTTTCCATAGTCTTCCTCTTCGTCATCCTCATCATCGGACATTTTTCGCACACGCCTGAATTTTTGCTGCAAGCAAAAAGGCTTGTTAGTGCACCCAATTCCTGGCACAGACACTCGAGCTCAGTGTGGTCTCTGCCAGGCCAGAACTGCACTTCCTCTGCTCCCCAGGTGGCACCTGAGAGGGAGCAGGATGGAGCCCAGCAGCGGCACGCAGGGGAGAAGAGCCGCCCCCTTGGGAGCTGCGTTGCAGGCGCTCACTGGGCACAGCGTGCACACAACGTAACTGAGGACTGTGCCGCATCCAGGCCTGTGTCGCTCGCATGCTGTCACCACTAGTGTTAGCCTGGCTTGATGTGCCTCTAGCGAGTGTTACGAAAGGAGCTTCAGAGCCCATAATAGCCTGTGCTGACTTTGAGGTTAGCACGATGCAGGAAAAAGTTACTGGAAGATGGGCTCCTCTGAGACTGTCTTGCAGAGGTGGGAAGGGAGGAGTACAGTAGACTTTAGGAACCAGAAGAAAGTGTTTTGCAAACTCTAGGAATCGCTTGGGCAGGGAGAGATCCTGCTTCCTTCAAGCACTCAGCTCTCCCTTTCCAAGCGAGCAGCACTCGCTCACTCCAGGCAGGAGCCCACCCTCCTTCGTGTTAAGATGCACCACACCATTAACAAGCAGCATGGGAACACAACTCACTCTTTTGACTTTAACACCCAAGTTCTCTTCAATGAGGTCAAAATCATCATCCTCCAGGCGGTCATCAAAAGCTAAGAGAAGGAAGCAGAGACGAGTTACACTCTCCCTTTACCAATCTGGGAATGGACCAACCAGTGAGAAGGGTATAGCTTACCCAGCCCACACAGACACCCAGGGCAGAGGGAGAGCTCTGCTCTCCTGCAGGGCAGTGCGAGAACATTACACTCTGGCCTGCTATGAACAATCATCATGAAACTTACTGCGCTTTCTCTTTTTGTGGCCAACATCGTCCTCAGAGTCTCCAGAGTCACTGGCTTCCTCCTCTTCTTCCTCTTCCTCATCGTCATCATCATTAATGAATCCTTTCAGGTTCCCCTGCTCATCTTGATCATCGAGATTCTCTTCCTCCTCTTCCTCATCTGTGGAGAGCAGCAAGTGTTAGACATGTAACTCACTGGTTATCTGCCGAGACTCCTTCTTGGCTCTGTGCAAATGGCATCTTCCTTCAAACTATCCACACAGAGAGCTTTAACTGAATGCTTTTACTGACACAGAACCCAGCCAGCTGCTCATGCCAGAACCCCACTTCTTGTCTTATGCTCTCTCTGCAGATGGAACAGGTGGAGTGGTCACACTGGGAGAATTCCTCTGCTTTTACTGTTTACTATCAAATTGTGTGACTGCAAATCCCACGGGGGTGAGGCAGTGTCTTTTCTATTGCCAAATATAAAAGCCACCTAAGCACTCTGAGGAAGGGAAGCACTTAAACAGCTGAGATTATCGACTACAGATGGCCATGCTATTATAGCACAGTTATTGCTCCATCTGCAGAGTCATGGGATGTAAAAATAGAGCAGCGAGGCACACAGACAATTCAGCAAACTCAGAAGAGACAGGCAGACTCACCATCCTCATCTTCCTCTACAAACTTCTTGGTTACTCTGGGCACAACCTCCCCATCCTGGTTGTACTCCTCCTCCGACTCCTCCGCTTCACTTTCTACGAAGTCAGACATGACTGCAGTGTCTCACACACGGCTCCGCAGGAACTGGGGAAAGATGAGACATCCATCACATCAGCCAAGCGAGCAAAACACAAGCACTTCCCCCTACTGGGTTTTAGAGAGAAGACAGTTCAGGCAAGAGGGTTTCGAATTATCTATCAAGGCCCTGAATTACCCAGTGTCCACCTTGCCTGGACATCCCTGTCACCAGAGATTAGGCAAGAAGAGCCAGCAGCCAAGTGCTGCTAGCTCCTGTCAACCCATGTCTCAGCAAGCAGGACAAGACCCGTCACAGCAGCATTCGTTATGCAGCCGAGCTCCTGGCTGCGGCTGAAACAGCGCGCGCAGCCAAAGCTCCTCATCCTGTCCATACCCTCCCACATGGCCAGGAAAGCAACCCCATGCTGTCACTGATGCAGCGCTGTGTTAGGCACATGGTCCAACCAATTAGGATCTTAATGTGATTAATTCTCACTCAGTTAATGAAGCCAGGGCAACCCTGAAAAGGGCCTTGACGGAGTCGTGCCCACAGGCTGTTAGCAAGGCTCTGCGGAGATCTGGGGAGCCCCACGGAGCAAACAGGAGAGAGGCCTGGAGGGTGCTGCAGGGTCAGGGCTGGGGGCTGCCAGCTGCCCAACTCCACCGCCCTGTGCGGCCGGAGCCGCAGCCAGGATGTTCCAGGCCAGAGGCCTTCGATCAGAGACTAAGAAGTAACAAGAGACTATAGAAACGGGGTATTTTCTATATCCAGAACCTTTTGTTTGATGTTTTTCCCCCAGCTGGGGTTCCTGGAAGCAGTATAAATCAACCTTGGCACAAAGGAAAGTGTCCATAAAGACACGGCTCAAGTTCTGTCTCTCTGAGCCTTCCACTTCTTGTGGTTACAAAACTTGCTGTCATTTTTTAAATTTTCAAAGGATTTTTTAGTTCCTTTTTACATACACCAAAACAGCAGAAGCTTACAAAAGTCAGCTATAAGAAAAAACAAATCAATTCCTCAAATGGCTGTGAAGTTGAAAACGCCAGCCCAGGAAGAAGAACCAGCCTTTGGGAAGGTACAAAAAGAAGCTCAGAGGAGATGTCAGATCTAAAGCCAAAACCTCCGTGTTAAATTACATCTGATTTAACACACACAAAAAAAAGAGAAGATGATGAGAAAAGAATTCCATACACCAGGGCACGGTACCTAAACAAACACACTTCAAAACATTCCCATAATAATTTCCCCACTGCAAACAAACAGCTGAAGGAAATCAGCCCCCCACAGGACAACCTGATCAAGGCTTTGCCATGACACTTCTCGTGTGCGGGACTTCTCGTTCTGTCCCGAGATCCACACATCTGGTACACAAACACAGTAATTTAGAGAAAACCAGGGACTTATTTCTCAGTTAAAGGGAAAAAAAAAAAAAAAAGGCTGATTTAGGAGAATCTTTTAAGTCTTAAAATACCAATAGCTCCAAAGGAATGTGTCGGCCGTATCTCATTAAAAAAAACCCACAACAAAGAGAAGGGAACAATCTCTGCCAGATTTCAGACACAAGCAGATAGCAGCTCATACTCCTTGGCTGCGGATTACACGGCTGTGGCCAACATCTATCTGCGATGCTCCAGACAGGCAGAAATCGTGGCAGGCCAAGGCTACTGCTCTGCACCCAGACAGGACATGGCTGCTCTGGCTTGGTGCGTGGGCACGGGGTGATCCCCGTCCTCGAGAGGACACTGTAGAAGTCACACACAGGTATTTAAGCATCCCTCTCAGAAATAAACAAATTTTATTTATTCCTGAAACCAATGCCACTGATGAATCATGTAACTACATACAGTAGAAGAACAGGAATTGTTATGTTTACCAGCTTGTGTATGAATATTATGTCAACTTCACACTTCCTCACCAATTCTTCTTCTACACGTATCCACCAGGGTGTATTAACATGCATAAAACTGCAGGCTAAGTGGCTGTTCCTAGAGCATTTCCATTTCTAAGCCTAATAACCTCATCTCTCTCCTGTCCATGATCAACACAAATCCAGCAAGAAAGAAAACCCTTCGTCATAGCACCACATGCAATTTTACTACTCTCTGCCAGTGAAGCATTTTGCTCGCAATTCCAACTTTGCTCCTCATCACTTGTTCTACCATTTCCTGGCAACTTCAGTTCATGTCAAATCAAATTTGTCTGGACACAGGGAACAGCTATGACTTCGGAGACCCATCTCATTTAATGATCCAGCCGAGCAGGTTCCACACAAGCCAACCACCCACAAAACCGGGTGCCTTCAGCTCCAGTGAAATCCACTTCAGGACAGCGGGGATGTCACTTAGCATGGCAAACGGAAGCAAGGGTAGCTATTACCAAGGAGATGTTGAATCACATATGGACTAAAGGTGCCTCTCCCACCCTCCTCCCTCCTTCATTTGAAATGCAACAGGACAGGGAGGCAGGCAGACTGCAGCCAGCGCGGGTGGAGGTGCAGAGGCAGAGCTCAGACCAGCACTGCTGCCCGGCGGGAGCCCCCCGAGCAGTCAGTCACAAAGGGAAAGCCCCGCTCAAGCAGCACCGCTTGTCTGGCTTGGGGAGGGTTTAAGAGTCTCCAGACTGAGGAGTGTTGTGGCAGCCCAGCTGTATCACGCTACGGGCCTTTCCTTGGAGCAGCACAGCAGCATCCCTGCTCCTGTAACACTGCCAGAAGAGGGTCAGAGATTGCTGCAGCACGGAGGCAACTACTAAATTGCACTAGAGCACCAAAAAGGCAGGGAGACCACGCCTAATCCTGCATGCTTGCTTGTACACAAGCAGACAGACTCCTATGGGTGATATATATATATATAGTGTTACCCTAAAGATACCCCACAGCCACTAGACACTGACCAAGACGGACCAAAGACAACAGCAACACAGCGAGCAGCGCTGCGACAGCACCACGGCAGCAGGCGAGGGATGCACGGGTGCCTCCACGCTGAGCCAGGCACCTCGAGCACGGCCTCTCTTGCTGGGCAGCGACGGCAGAGCAGCTCAGGGCTAAGCAATTACATGACCTCTGCTTTCAACCAGGGGCGTCCGCACTTTGCTCAGCTCAAGGGCACAATGGCAATTGTCCAGAGTCCACAAGCTCCTTTTGACTGGGATGACCCTGAGCAGATAGCTCCCTTCGCTGTCAATACCGAGACTGTAGATCTCTGATCAGGTCAGCAGGACTGGGCTGGACACCAGCTGCAGGCACTGCAGGTGAGGTAGCGCCCTTGGAACAAGCGCTGCTTTGTGATGGACCTGAGAATTCTGGGAACCAGACGTTTAAGTACCTGTAAAGCCTTGGCCACACATTCACATACCCGCTGGCTGCTCAGGACTGCAAAACATCGCAGTGCTGGAGGCAGACGCAGCTTTGTACATCATATGCAAGCGAAAGTTAATTCATTAGGTTTAGAAATGGAAATACGCAGCGAATACCTGCAAAATACCACAATATGTTATGGGAAAAAGTCCTGCACCTTGCCAGTTATGGCGGCACTCTGGCAAGGCAGGGACACAACCGGGTGCAGGATGGCATCAGGAATGACAGTGCCCCACAGGAGTTTCACAGCCCAAGCAGGTGTGGGGTGAAGGAAACCAGAAGCATCTCATCTTCTCCAGGCACAGGGATGCCAACGAAGGCATGAGACCTCAGCAGTGTTTGCGGAATAACCAAGGAATGTCCTCACAGTGAGATACATTTACAATTCAGCAATCAACCTCAGGATATCAGTGTCAATGCACAAAACAGCAAAACCAAGCGCTAATCTAGGCTTTACTGCAGCACGGGTGCTGAAGAGAAGCAAGTCCTGACTTCTCCCCATCATTCGTAAGAAAAACTACATCAAGGCCCTGACCCACGCTAACACTGGTTTTGTGGAGGTTTTTTTGGGGGGAGAGGGTTTGGACAGGAATTGTTTTAACCTGTGCGATGTCATGGTTCAACTCACAGTCCACTTAAGATCATGTAGGTCCTTGGAACCACGTTACCAAAGCCACCACTGAACAGTTTCGTTCAGTTCTCATGTCTACACTTCAAAGAGAAAAGTTAAATTGGAGAGGATTCAGAAAGCTCTGTGAGAGTAAGGCTGGGAAACTTGACTCAATTAAAACGTAGAGCCTAAGGAAGCCAAATTTATTCATTTTGTCAACTAAATGCTCAGGAAATTAATTTTAGCATGGCCCGAGTACATCCACGGGAGTAAAAGACGGTGACAATAAATGGCTCATTAGGAAAAACCCAAACGAACTGCAAAGGTAACGCCACTGTTCCGCCCCCTGAAGCTCTCACAATAAAAATCAATTTTGGTTTTCTTAAAAAAAAAAAAAACAAAACACACCCAACATGATTGAGCTGGAACATGTGGATTTAACACTAATCACTAAGCAATGACCTCCAGGCTGCGTCCCACCACAGAATTCAGACAAGATCATATTGGCTTCTTTTAATTTGAAGCTTATGAGCCTAACAAAAACATCCCTGTGAAGCACAGTAAGGCACTCGCACGACCAAATACCCTCACGGGCACCTCATCAGCGTTGAGCTCTTCCTCAGAGCCACTCCTTGGTATGAGCAGGGAATTCCGTAGGGCCAATCTCCGCTGGGGCCTGCCAGCCCCGATACGGCATCAGCAACAGAGTTTTGTATTTAGCTTTTATAGCTGGCTGACAGATTTCTGAAGTCAGAACCTAAACCAGACATTCCCACCCTCCTCGGTGGGAGATGCGCAAAGGAGCACAGGGGCCAAACAACGACTGGAGACCAATGATGCTGTGACAGGGAAAGTCCAGGCAGCCAGCCACTGCAGCTCAGGAACTTCCCGTACCTGCTTCGTTAGTTTTAATGCTCCCCGTTGCTCCCACCACCCCCGACGCCATCGGGTGGCAGAACATCCTGTGGCAGAGTGCCACAGTTTAATAGCATGTTGTGTGAAAAAGCACTTCCGCCTGTTTATTTTAGACCTGCTGCATCATAATTTCCTGTAAGAAACAGAAAATT